TGTATGTCATTACATGGAATGGATCAATTAAATAAAAAATCTTCAAAATTATAGTGATGATGATTACGAGTATGACGATCGTTGTAATAATAATAATAATAATAATAATAACAACAACAACAACAATAATTTCACTAACAACAAAAATAATGATGATGATGATGATGATGACAATGAAAATACTACTACTACTACGACTACTACTACCACCACTACTGCTAAAAATAACAATAATAATAATAAGAAGAATGATGACGATGACAGTGTAAATAATGATGACAGATAATTATGAAGATGGAAGCGCCTAGAGTCTGCTTCGTGTTGACATAGCCTAGGCAAAAAAATCATTAACTTCACCACGTGGTCATTATCAGCATCATCATCTCATCGTCATCATCATCGTCATCATCTCATCGTCATCATCTCATCTTCATCTTCTTCTTCTTCGTCGTCGTCAAATACTTTTCATGGTAAGAAGCAACATGCAAAAAAGCACGCATATGCAGGTACCCACACATATATGTGTACGTGCACACCTCATACACACACACACACACACACATATGCACACACGTACACACACGCATGACGTGGGAAGATAGACACTTCTACAATTCGTTGCTCAGGAAAACACATCAATGTCACAACATCAACAACAACAACAACAACAACAATAATAATAATAATAATAATTAAAACGATAATAAAATAATAATGGTAAGAATAACAATAACAATTCTGAAAAAACAATAATGATAATAGCGATATATTTATTATTAATCAATATTACCTGCCGTTAAAAAAGCTCTAACAATTGGACAAAATAATAAAATAAAACAACAACATCAACAAATCACAACAACAACAAATCACAACAACAACAAATCACAACAACAATAACGACAACAACAACAACAAATCACACCAACAACAACAACAATTACCTGACCGACATGAATTATTTTTTTTAATGATACACCGGCACATCACCGTTACGTTGCACATGTCATTGTTGTCATGACGACGTAAATATTAGCGAAGCTAAAGATATTTATTTATGAGTTTCGCAAATAAAATGTATAACAATAATAATAAAAACAGTAATAATAATAATAATTATTATTATTATTAATATAATTATTATTACTAATTATTGAAGGCGTCATTTAAATTAAACAAAAAAAATTTCTAAAAAATACAATTACAACTGATGTGACAAGCCTTTTTTTATTTAATTAATTTATCGTAGACAAAAATAAAATGTGTGTGTATGTGTATGTGTGTGTACGTGTGTATGCGTGTGTACGTGTGTGCGTGTGTATCAAAGAAAATCTTAACAAAACAAAATCGACAACAAAAATCTTAGAGATAAACAATCAAACAAACATAACAAAAAACAAAGACATTAAAATACAATACAGATAAAACAAAAATATAATACAATACAGTATAGATAAGAATACAAGAAATATACAATACAATACAAAAACAAAACAATGCAGAAGTGCCCTAGAACGTTGGTTAATGATGTTTAAACACAATGAAAGAAAAATCAGCTAAACTTTTCTACCTACCATCGCTTTTGTAAGTTGCAACTATTAAGATGACAATGACCAAAAATAAAAATAATAAACAATAAGAATATTAATAAGGAGTAGTGGTAATAGCAAAAATAACAATTATTGGAAAAAGATGAAGAAAAAAAGGAGAAGAAGAAGAACAATTAATAGATGAAAGAGAATAAACTCTGCTTCTTGCTCTGTATTTTACACTAAATCACTTTTCCACAGCAATAAAATAATAGTATAAATAATAAAAATAACATAAATAATAATAATAATAATGATAATAAATAATATTTTTCGCATTAAAACCACTACATGTAAGATGTAACAGTAATAAAATGCGTTAGCAACTGAAAAATATTTTCTGAAATGACGTCACATCAACAACAACTACGACCACAACAACGATGACCACAGCAACAACCGCAACAACAACATCATTAACAATAACAGCAACAATAACAAAATGTTTTGCGCGCTCCTTTAACTCATAAACCTCAAATAACACAAGTACAACAACGACATAACGTGGTTAATACATCCAAC